GACCCTTCTTCAGAGAAGGGTCCTGACCCGAAACGTCAGCTTTCCTGCTCCTCTGATGCTGCCTGGCCCTGTGTTCCTCCAGCTCCATGCTGTGTTATCACTGGAATCAGCACGTTGTCTTATCAGGAAAGGTTGGACAGGCTAAGCTTTCATCCATTGGAGTTTAGAAGAGACAAGTTGTTTGAAATATACAAGACCCTGCGAGGGGTCCTGACAGAATGGATGTGGCAAGTTTATTTCCTCTTGTACGAGAGCTTCGAACTAGGGGTTACTGTTTAAAAATAAGCAGTAAACGATTGAGCAAAGGGATGAAAAGAAAGAGAGGTTGGGGAGTTTTTGGAACTCTTTTCCTCAAAAGGTGGCAATAAAAAGTCTTTGAATACCTTTAAGGCAGATGTCAATAGATTATTGCCAAGCATGAGGCTGAAAAGTCATCCTACAGTATGACGGAACGTGGAGTCATCAGATCAGCCAAGATCTTCATCAATGGCTGAAAATGCTCAAGGGACTGAGTAGGCTATTCCTACTTCAAATTTATATGATCATATTTATGCAAGGCAGAACATAGAACAATACCCAAAGGCAGTTCAAAAACTGAACAAAGGCAAAATATTAAGAATAGTAACCAAAAGCTAGTGTGAAAAGCGCCAGATTTGAAGATGGGCAGATAGCATAGTGATGGATGATTTGGGGAGGGAATTCCAGAACGTGTTGCACATTCAACTGAAAGTATAGATAACACAGTGTGGAGCTGGAGGAAAACAGCAAGCCAGGCAGCAGAGGGGCAGGGAAGTTGACGTTTCGGGTCAGGACCCTTTTTCTGTTATCCCTGATTCCAGCATCTGCAGTTCTTACTATCTCCAACTGAAAGCACAGCCAAGATACCTGAACAACCTAGACTAGTTGTTGAAACAAGGAAGACCCGGGAAAAAGGGAAGACACTACTTGGTATGCTAATTATTTCCAGTATTTTCTGTTTTCATGTCTGAAAGAAATTGTGTTGTTAAGGCCATGGGTCAGTTCACTGATAGCCTCTGGCTTATATAATTCAAAATCTCCAGACTCCTCAATTACGGAGCCTCCTAACAGCTACCCAGTCTTCTTCTTAGACAAACCCCTAGAATTAAGAATTAAGCATAAAGCATAAATTCAAGAAAATTATATGACTCAACAGGATCACCTCTCATTCTTCTTAACTATGGTGAGCACAGGTCCCATTCTACTCCATTTCTCCACATCACATCCGAGGGTGCAATCGAGCAAACATTTGTGCAGCCTTCTACAGCAAGTAATTCAAAATTCAATACATCTGTGCATCAGAATTACAGTTTGAGATGATATGTTGGAAGTACTGTATATGTTCAGTAACTGTAAATTTGGTCACTGCTGTAGTGCAAATATTATTTTCGGACTTATAAAAAACTCATTTGCAGGACATGCTGGATAAGCCAAGATTTATTACCCACGCCTAACTGCCCTCAAGAAAGTGGTAGTGAGCTGCCTTTGTGAAATACTTATTTGGAACACCCACTGTGTTGTTACAGGGTGAGTTCCTAGATTTTAACCCTGTTACAGTGAAGAAACAGCAACGTATTTTCAAGTCAGGATGGTGTGGGGCATGGAGGGGATCTTGCAAATGATGGTGCTCCCACATACCTGCTGCCATTGTCATTCTGGTTTGGAGGTTGGAAGGTGTTATCCAAGGAGCCTTGGCAAGTTACTGCAGTGCATCTTGAAGATGGTACACACTGCTGCAGCTTCTCTGCAGTGGTGAATAGAGTGAATGTTGAAGGTGAGAATTGGCATGCCAATCAAAAAACTGCTTTGTCCTGGATGGTGTTAAGCTTCCTGAGTGTTTTTGGGAGTTTCACCCATCCTAGCAAGTGGGCAGTATTCCATCACACTCCTGACTTGATAGCACTATCAATAACACCTTCCATTACTCTGTTGATGCAAAATAAACTGATGGACTGATAAATGGCCTGGTTGATTTGTGATATAACAAGGTGTAGAGCTGGATGAACACAGCAGTCCAAGCAGCATCAGAGGAGCAGGAAGGCTGACGTTTCGGGCCTTCTTCAGAAATGGTTGATTTGTCTTGCTTTTTGTGGACACGATATGGTTGTGCAATTTTCCATATTGACATGTATTTGTCAGTGTTCTAAATGTGCTAAACCAGCTTGGCTAGTGGCGTGGTTAGTTCTGGAGCGCATCTTCAGTACTTTTTTCTAGAATGTTAACACAGTCCACAGCCTTTCCAGAATCCAGCATCATCAGCTATTTCTTGATATCGTAAGGTCTATCAAATTGGTTGAAGACCAGCATCAGCAATGTTGGGGTCATCAGGAGAAGGTAGAGGTGGATCATCACCTTGGCACTTCTGGCTGAGCAGGGTGCAAATGCTTCAGTCTTGTCATTTGTACTGATGTGCTGGACTCCTCCATTATTAAGGATGAAGTTATTCATAGAGTCTCCTTTTTTTTGGTATTCATTGACGGGAAGAGGGCATTGCTGGCTAGGCCAGCATTTAGTGCACATCCCTAATTGAGGTTGAGAGTCAACCACGTTGCCGTAGAGCTGGAGTCGCAAGCAGGGAGTTTCCTTCCCTAAAGTACATTGGTAAATCAAAAGGGGTTTTCCCGATAATTCACAATGATTTCATGGTTATTACCACGCCCTTCATTCCAATTTTTTTAATTGAATTCAAATTCCACAATCTGCCATGGCAGGATTTGAACCTAAGTCCCCAGAACGTTAGCTGGGTCTCTGGATTTTAAGTTCAGCAATAATACTATTAGGCCATCGCCTCACCTTGTAGTGAGTTGTTTTGTTGTTCACCATTGGATGTGGTAAGACTGCAGAGCTTAGATCTGATTTGTTGATTGTGGGATAACTCACTGTTTGGCATGTAAATAATCCTGTGTTTACGTTACTGGGTGAGTGACAGAGAATGGTAACATATGAGAGATGAGGGGGTGGAACTAAAGAAGATGGTCAAAACCAACACAATTGCCAGTTGAGTAGCAAGACAGACCAATATGCAATTTGGTTATAACATTACTCAGAGAATTTAATAAGTGAATATGGTGTCATACTGAAACCCAAGTCTTCATCCACCATACCTGTCTCACTCAGTATGGAAAGCTAACCACACATCACTGGAAGATTTGAATATTATCAATTTGATGTTTTAAACTACAAATATTTTGCAGATACTCCATGAAAATCCATTAAACACAAATGGCTGTGAATCTACACCAATTGTCAACAATGGTTTAATTACATAATTTTATTCACAGAGGAAAATGCTACACTCCCAAACTCTGCGAAGTTTTCTCAATGGCAACTCCAAGATGATTTATTCCTCACATAATGCAGTACATACAAGAACAATTGCACTTTGCTCGTTTTGTTTCCACTTAGAGACATACAGCACAGAAACAGATCCTTCGCTCCAACCAGTCCATGCCGAACAGAATCCCAAACTAAACTAGGCCCACCTGCGTGGTCCTGGCCCATATCCCTCCAAACCTTTCCCATTCATGTACTTATCCAAATGTCTTTTAAACGTTGTGATTGTACCCACATTCACCACTTCCTCAGGAGGTTCATTCCATACGGGAACCACCGTTTGTGTAAAAACATTTGCCTCATTTTTTTTTAAAATCTCTCTCCTCTCACCTTAAAAATGTGCCCCCAAGTCTTGAAATTCCACATCCTAGGGAAAAAAACAACTACCATTAACTCTATCTACAACTCTATCTATACCTCTCATTACTTCGGTCAGATTGCCACTCAACTTTCTACATTCCAGTGAAAAGTGTCCCAGCCTATCCTGCCTTTCTTTATAACTCATACCTTCCATACTCGGCAACATCCTGGTAAATCTCTTCTGACCCTCTCCACTTGATAATATCCTTCCTATAACTGGGCGACCAGAACTGGACACAGTATTCCAGAAGAGGCCTCACCAATGTCCTGTACGACCTCAAAATGACTTCCCAACTCCTGTACTCAAAGAAGTGAGCAATGAATTTTTCAGAAAACATATCCCTTTTAGCAAGAAGTCCCAAACTCATTTTTCTCTGGAACAAAACAACATATAGGCCATTAGGTTCTTAACATCTTAACTCAGATTTTTACAAAAAGCAGAGTTCGCATGTTAAGTTCTTAACTGGTTTCTGGTAAACGGTGTTATAAAGGTTACTTTAAATTTTCTTGGTTATTCTGGTCCATTAAGGAAGAATTCACTAAGATTTTTGTTTTTAACCCACATCAATGTTGCGCTTATTCATGCAGATGACGTACAGGGAAACACTGTGCCAACACACGCCAGAAGATACTGCAAGGGAAATATATTACCGAAGCAAATCGGCGTCGACACAACCTTCATCAATAAGTACCAACACTTTATTTAAAAAATATATAACACACACAAGTTGGGCTTGTTTTGAAAACTAGGGCCCGTCAGGTTGTCATCGCAGTGCAATCAAACCTGCTAGCGTGCTGAGTGACAGGATGACCGACCAATCAGGGTTCAGGAGGTAAAGGAGGTGGGCTTTAGTCTGAAGCACTGGTCCAATGAGGAGGAGGGGAAGCGGAGGTTCGGTTGAGAGATCTAAGCGGGAGCCATCCCGATGGAGAGTGAAAAGCGACGGCGCCCTCACCACGGCCCGGGACACTCACTCACCTCCTCGGCGTGCTTCCGCAGGGCTTTCTCCCGCTCATACTGGGTGATGAGCTGCTCGTTATCCTCCCGCAATAGCTCCAGCTCCACCTCGTGTTCCTGGTTCTCGGCGAACATCGCGTCCAGGTTCTCCAGCACACCGACCACCAGCGGCATCAGGTCCTTCACCACATCTTCGTCGTACTTGCGGATCATCCGCTCGAACTCCCGGTAAATACTAGCCGCCAGGCCCGACACCCGCTCCGACATAACATTAGTGTTGGAGTCATCCTGGTAAACCACCCCATCATCCATTTCCATTTTCTTTAAATTATCGATATGCAGGGGAAAACATATAGACAAATCACTGATTTACGCCGGAGGAACTTAAGGGGATAACCATCTATATTTCTCCTCAGCTCTAGGTGCTTTCTTCTCTCCGCCGCTCAGCCGTCTCCCGCTCCCTCCCTGTTGACGACGCCGCTCGGCTCGAGGCCACTGGCTCCAACCCCGCCCCCTCAGCGCGCTGCCCAGCCCCCACAGGGCGCGTTCCCGTTCGAGGGGCGCGGTCCCGCCTCTTCCAGACTGCGCGCCCCCGCACCGATCAATCACGGAACGTAGCGACCTTCCATAAGTCATGTGATCCTGTCACATGCTGTTTTCGGGCTAGAGACAGTAGGAACCGCAGATGCTGGAGAATCAGAGATAACAAGGTGTAGAGCTGGATGAACACAGCAGGCCAAGCAGCATCAGAAGGGCAGGAAAGCTGATGTTTTGGGTCGAGATCCTTAGGCCCGAAACGTCAGCCTTCCTGCTCCTCTGATGCTGCTTGGCCTGCTGTGTTCATCCAGCTCTACACCTTGTTATCTCTGTTCTCGGGCTAAACCGGGTAACTCTATCATCCTCCATACAGCGCTTTGTACAATTACAGGGATTCTGTGATGGTAGTTGACATCTATGAATGGTTGAGTCATTTTTATTTTAAAACTTTGGACACGAGGTTTAAGGACCCCAGACAAGATTCCTCCCTGAATAAAATTGTTATGAACATCAGAACTGCTAGTGAAAAACCATGCTTTTGTCAAGTTTACCTTCTACCAATCACATAATACAATACAATGGAACTGTTAACAAATCAAAAAGATTCTTTCATAAATGTGAGCTCCTCCAAAACTATATAAAAACCAAAAGAACTGCGGATGCTGTAAATCAGGAACAAAAACAGAAGTTGCTAGAAGCTCAACAGGTCTGTCTTGAACAAGTGTCACCGGACTGAAATGTTAACTCTGATTTTTTTCTTCACAGGAGCTGCCAGACCTGCTGAGCTTCCAGCAACTTCTGTTTTTGTTCCTCAAAAACTGTGCTGTCCATATTTCTTTTGCCCATGGCTTAGATGGCAGCATTCTTTTCTCTGAGTGACAGTTATGGCTTGAAATCTTTGTCGAGGACTTGAATACAAAAGTCAAAACAGATATTCCAATTTTGCACCATTGGAAGTGCCGTGCTTTGAAGGACTTAATAAAAATGAGGCCTCAGGTTAATGGAAGAGAATGGAACTATTTCAAGTAAAAGCAAGTGTGTTCTTCCGGGCATATTAACATAAAATACTGGAAGTGGTTCTAATGAAAGTTCATCACACATGTGCTGGTAGGCTCACTGAGTATTTCAAATATTTTCTGTTTTTATTTCAGATTTCCTGTGCGTACAGATACGTGGGTTGAACATACGTTTTAATGTTAAATCAATGTAAATTACATTACATAATTCTAAACACTGCAAATGGACATAGAAACTTGGAGATTCATATGTATATATCTTTGACTTGAAAGGACATATTGAGAGAGTAGATATTAAAACATTGTGGCTTCACAGATTGTGACATTGAGTTTAAAATCACAGATGTTGTGGTGAATATTTATTAATGCCTGGTTAGGCAATAAGTTCTGGCCATCATGCTTTAGGAAGGACTTGACAATCCTTGAAAGGGTGCACAGGAGATTTACCAGAATGGTTCCAAAGCAGAGAGAGAGATTAGTTGCAAGGTGAGTTTGGAGAAACAGAACTTGTTTTCCTTGGAGCAAAGCAGATTACGGAGAGATTTGACAGAGGTGCACAAGGTACCTAAAGGAAAGGAAGTTAGGGATTGCATCAAATTAAAAGAAAAAAATATATAACATGGCAAAGATTGGTGGTAAACCAGAGGATTGGGAATGTTTTAGAAAATCAACAAAAGTCAACCAAAAATAATAGAGAAAAAACATAAACTTTGAGGGTTAACTTGCAAGTAATATCAAAACAGACAGCAACAGCTTCTTTAAATAAGTAAAAATAAAGAGAGAAGCAGAAGGGAACACAGGCCCATTAAAAACTAAAACTGGTGAAATAACAAAGGGGAACCAGGAAAAGGCAGAGTTGAATAAATACTTTGCATCAGCATTCACAATAGAAGACAATAACAATATTACAAAAGTACAAAATTATCAAATGGCTAAGGAAACTAATGGGGCTAAAGAATAATAAGTTCCCTGGACACGATAGGAGACGTTGTGGAAATTCAAGAATGCAGGTATAGAGATAGTGGATGCACTTGTAGTAATCTTCCAGGAATCCTTAGATTCTGGGAAGGTCCCAGAGAATTAGACAACTTCTAATGTAACACCTTTTATTAAAAATGGGAAGAAGACAAAAAAAGGTAACTGTCTGCCAGTTACCTTAATGTCTGATCTTGAAAAAATGTTAGAATCTGTTATAAAGGATGTAATAGCAAAGCATTTAGAAATATATAATATGATCAAAGCAGGATCAGCATGGCCTCATAAAGGGGAAATCATATGTGACAAATTTACTGGAATTTTTTGAGTAGGTAACAAGCAGGATAGATAAAGGGAAAGTAGTGGATGTGATAAATATTTTGATTTTCAGAATATGTTTGGTAATGTAACGCACATTTAAAAAGCTAAGAGCCCATGTGTTGGAAGAAGCACATTATGGATAGAGGATCAAACTAATAGAAGACAAAAAATTGGGATAAGGAGGCATTACCAAGATGGTAACGTGTTACAAGTGAAGTGCCACAGGCATCAGTGCTGGAGCCACAGTTATTTACAATATATGTTAATGGTATGAGGAAAGTGAATGTACTATAGCCAAGTTTGCAGATGGCATGAAAACAGGTGGGAGGCAAGTGGTGAGGCTGACACAGAGTCTGCAGAGGGATTGAGGTAAGTTAAGCAAGTGGACAAAAAGTTGGCAGAGGGGAATATAATGTGAGAATCCATACAGTGTGGAAACAGGCCATTCAGCCCAACAAGTCTAAACCAGTCCTCCAAAGAGTATCCCACCCAGATCCATCCCTGTAACACTTCATTTCCCATGGCTAACACGCCTAACCTACACATCCCTGAACACTATGGGTAATTTGGCATGGCCAATCCACCTAACTTGCACATCTTTGGACCGTGGGAAGAAACATACACAGGCACAGGGAGAACGTGCAAACTCTACACAGACAGTCACCCGAGGTTGGTTGGAATTAAATCCACGTCCCTCGCACTGTGAGGCAGCAGTGCTAACCACTGAGCCACCTTGCTGTCAGGGTTGTGTATTTTGGCATGAAGAATAGAGGAGTTAAATATTATTTAAATGTAGAAAGTCTGCAGAAAGCTACAGAACACTGGGGTTTCAAAGCTGTAGTCCATGAATCACAAAAGGCTGGGGTCCAAGTTAAGCAGATTGAAGAACAAGAGTAAGCCACCTAACTGTTCAAGCCAGGTCCACCATTCAATAAGGTCATAGCTGATCTGAGTTTAAGCTCAACTCTGCATTCCTGCACATCCCCAATAATCTTTCACCCCTTTAGTGACATTCAAAATGGCGCCAGATTGTGGGGACATTTGAAGCTTTTCAGTGTATTTTACAGTATTATTCACTGTAAAATACAAGTGACAATAAATCATTCAAAGATACCCCTGCCTTCAAAATAGTTAAAGATCTGCATCCACTGCCTTTTGAAGAAGACTCACAACCCTCTGAGAGAACAAAATGTTTCCTCATCTTTGTTTTAAACGGGTGTTTTAAACTACCTCTAGTTCTGGATTCTCCCATAATTGGAAATATCCTTTCAACATCTACCCAGTCAAGTCCCCTCAGGAACTTAAATGTTAGAATTAAGTCACTTCTGACTGTTCTAAACTGTAGAAGATGTAAGCCTAGCCTGTCTAGCCTTTCCTCATAAGGCAATCCACTCATTCCGAATATTAGCCTAGTAAACCTTCTCTGAACTGCTCCCAGTGTACTAACATCTTCTGTCAGTGTGGCGATCAATACTTTACAGTATTGATGTTTGGAAGAATGAAAGGGGATTTTATTGAAACGTACAAGATTTTTAGGGCAGAGCAAAGTTAATCCTTTTTTCAACCAATTTATCTTTCTGGATATGTGCACAGTATCTTCAGGTTCAACTTCTCAGTTGTCACATGGCTGCTTTCTAAAGTTGTTATCAATTCAAGTTGTCACAGATTGTATGAATCATTTTTATCCAGTAGGGCATTATATCAGTATGAGTATTTTTAACTAAAATCACAAGACGAAAGTGTGAGCGGCTCAAAAAAAATGAGAAAACATGCAACATTTAGAGTGCAGGCTAACTGAAGCAAATCCAATTGTCATCCTGTGTGACAAGGGTACAGTTTAATTTTGAAGTTACTGAAGAGGAATCAGGGCCAGAAATACCTGCAGATTTTCCCAACCTTGCCCATCTGACTACATGACTGAAATCAATGAACCGAGAAGGAATTCTGAACAGGACCTTCCTGCTTTGAAGCATAAGCAGTTAATGAATTATGGTATATAAAAAGGGCAATTTGGCTTCACTTCATGTGGAATGCTTCTTTAGAATAGAAGGAGAACAGCCAAAGAACAGACCTGAATTATTCACATTCTCCTTCTGAATAACATGCAGGCGCCCTCAGCAATACAGTAGCAGCTTATTCACAGACTAATTATATATGACATGCAGTATTGTTCCCGCACGAGGCACTGTTGGAGCAAGCTAAGCTCATAGTCAATGTGTACACCAAGATAAATACAAGAAAAAGTGTTGAACAATTTCCAAAGATAAATCAAGTTACAGAAACGGAAACAGTACGTTAAACCATTGCCTCATACATTAGTTTGAGCTGTGCTTTGTTATTTTCTGATCCACTTTCACATTGTCTCAAATAAACTTTCCTTGCAAAGCCACAGAAACCTGTAGAATGTTACTATCAACAGCTACAGAGACACAGCTGGCCTAATCTGTGACTATAGATAATGCATTACATATGAAGTAAAAACAAAATGACCACAGCATTGATAATATTTGAACAGTGTTGTCTAATATGGTAGTCATTAGCCACATATGCAAATGTAGTTGTAAAGTTAGATTTCTGAGTAATAAATGCTAATTCTCAGTTGGAGTATTAGTTCCAATTCTGGACACCATACTTTAGAAAGTATGTCAAGGCCTTAGGGGTGGTGTAGTGGGCACGGAT